CGTCACCGTGTGGCATTGTTGGCAGTTGGTGTTCAGGAGCTGGGGTGCTGTGAAATACTACATGCTTCATGTTTGATTTAAAAACTTCTTTTGTCCAAAGAAAGTAAATGGTTAGAAGGGCTAAAGGATAGAACAGAGTTTTGCATTTACATTTATAATTTCTTTGTTTATCCTTTGCAGAAAGGAAACTTGTAAAGTGTAAACATTTTTGGAATTATCTTTAATTCGTTAATGCAGTCAATATGTATTTAGCATCTAAAACGTCTGTCACTTGGATGTTACGTAGCAACAAACAAGAAAGCTAGAATCTCCGCTGTCAGTGTTTATAGCCTAGTATGGGGAGGCACCAATAGCTAATTAACCAATTACTATACAGTGGGGTAAGAGTTGTTATAGGAATAATGCAGAGAACTGTAGTAGGAAACACCGTGCCCAGATGTGGGAAGGTCTAGGGAAAATGACTAGAAAGAAAAACATTTAAACTGATGCATGGAGTATAGGCAAAATTGGGGAAGGTCATTCTAGGTCAGCGGACCTCAAAGTGTAGTCCCTGGACCAGAACCATCAGCATCACCTGGGGGGCCCCACCTCAGATCTACTAAATCAGAAATTCTCAGAATATATTCAGAAATTTGTGTTTTACAAACCCTTTGGGTGATTCTGATGCAGAAAACCACTGTTGTCACTGATGCCGAGAACCGAATGTGTAAGAGAGTTATATGCATGTTGCATATAACTGAAGCAGAGAGTTCGAAGTCATTAATAGCTTGAGTTGAGGCTGGAAAGGCAAGGGAGGCCTGATAAGGTAGTCGAAGAGTTTTGATTTTTATTTTACATGCTCTCGTAAGCCACTGAAGCGTTTCCAGTACGGGAGCAGCATGGCCAACTTTGTCTCTTAGGAAGATCACTGGAGAAGAGACTGGCTCTGGGTAGCAAGAACACTTAGGAAGCCAGTGTGGTAGTATGCTGGTGGACGTGAGAATGGAGTGGTAGACAGGCCGAGCAGGAAGGAGAATCTACAGGATTTGGTTATTGATTAAGTGGTAAGGATGAGGGGAGAAGAAGGCATTCCCAGGTTTAGCTCTCAGACCACTGGAGAGACAGTGGTTCTCCAGTCTCTGGAATAGAGAGCACAGTTCCTTAGGGATCATGAGGGAAGATTATGTGTTTGAGTTTGGTTTTGATCACGGAGATGGAACTGCTAATCTCAGAGGTAACAGTAGGCAATTTGATATTTGCCTAGATCTCAGCAAAGAGGTATGGGTTAAATAGATATGGGATTATTTGGGATACATAAGATACTCAAGATCTTGGAGGACATATTAGAAAGCTCAATGAAAGTATGTTGAATGAGAACATAAAACATATAGAAACATTAATATTGTTCATAATATGGGGAACCCTCAGAAATGACTGAGAAAGACCAGCAAGAGAGGGATCAAAACCCAGGAGAGTGTGCTGTCATGAAAGCCAAAAAGGTATTTCTAAGGAGAGCCTCTCAGTCATGTATTTAATGCTCTGAGGAGGTCAGTAAGGTGAGGGCTGAAGAGTTTCATTGGAATAGCCACGAGATTGGTGTGACTTTGGGAAGTTACATGGAATTGAAAACTTTGACTAGAGTGGATTTGATGGAGTAGATTTGGCAGGGTAGAAGCCATCCTATAGTTAGTTGAGAAATTAGTGTAAGAGAGACACTAGAGAGCAATTGGCCACGAAAGAGAATAATAATCCAAGCTGGAAGGTGAAGAAGAGGTCATGTAGGATTTCTTTTTTTTACCTTTTTCTTTCCCTCCCTCTCTTCACTTCTCCCTCCCTCTCTCCCTCCTTTCCTTTCTTTTTCGAGATGGTAGAGACAAAACTCGAATGTGGATAGGAAAGATTCAGAGGAGGAGAGAGAAGGAGTGGAGGGGGCAGAACCGAAGATATAAGGAGGAGAAAGGAAGCAATTTATAGAACAAGTTTCTTGAAATAGTAGGAATGAATGGGATTGAGAACACTGGGATGGCAAAGGGTACACCTTTTCCATTGTAACAGAAAGAAGAAAGGAAGGGTATTTGAATAAGTAATTTTGTCTTTGGTGGGAGAAAGGGAAAAGAGTTCTAATCTGATGATTCTCTTTCTTTTTTAGCATCTGCTGATGGAGAAAGGGAAGATGAGGCTCAAAAGAGAATAACATATCTTGAGATAATCATGCTAAGCGAAATAAGCCAGATAGAAGTTGAAAACCACATGATATCACTTATGTGTGGAATATAAACCTGAAAGCAACAAACGAACTTGACAAACAGAGACTCAGGGACATGGACAATAGACTAGTGGTTACCAGAGGGTAGCGGGGAGGTAGATGGGATTAAAGGGGTGAAATATGTGATGACAGAAAGAAATCTAAGTATGGGCGGTGAACACACAATGCAATATATACATATGCTTTACAGTTGAATTCTATACCTGAAACTTACTGGATTTTGTTAACCAATGTCACCATAATAAGATAAATAAATAAATAGATAGACAGATAAACAAAAAGACAAACAGACAAATAAATAAGAGAACAAGAGACAAGTTTAAAAATGACTACGGAGAAGATATAAAATAATAAGTAGGGGAAAAATCAGATTTCTTGTGGCACTAAAATCTCATTTCAGGTTAGACATCATGAATTTATACCAGAATCAAGCTGCCAGATATGTTAACTTTCTCTAACTCTTCTCAGAAGTCTTGGTGTAGGTATGGAAGTAGCAACCAATTGCATTCACCCAAGACTGGTGTTATTCTAAGAAAATGTTGCAGAAGTACAATGGGGCAAGTAGATTCAAAAATAAAGGTCTCTGCTTCCTTATCTGAAAATTTTTTTCATAACTTGTTTAGTGACAAAACTTGCTCTGAATGAATTGATGTGAGGCTTTTCATAATCTTATCAAATTTAGTGTATGCATCTTTGCTTCAGAAATTAATGTGTATGATTAAGGAGTGCTGTCCCAAATTTCGATAGGGATGTTACATCATATATTGTTTATGTACTGTGTAACTGGTCTTAAAACCAGAAAAAAATTGAATTCTAAAGGACGTCTGACCTCAAAGCCTTCAAGAAGATAATGTGTTCCTGTGTTAGCAATAAAGATGTGAAAATGATAAACTATGGAATCTAAGCGGGATAAGGAAAAGGGAAGACAGAGAGGGCAATCCATTGGGAAAAATAGGATGCTTAAGGAAATAGAGGACTTCAAAGAACTGATGTATTGGGGATCAAATGAGAAATTTGGAAAAATGGAAATTGTGCTATTTAGAAGGTATAAATTATTTCCAAAGGGAGACGGTTCTGAGTGGTTACAGAGTCCAGGGTGTGACCATGGAAGTGGCTAGCTGTGTCTCAATGAAATAGAAAGTCATCAGAGAGGAGGTCAAGAAACTGAAAGGCAAGAAAATTAGATGAATTACCCAGAGCAGTGGCAAGATTTGGGGTGGAATGGAACACTGCAAGCCAGAATCGCAGCTCTCAAATGAATGCGGTTCTGTGGGAAGTACATAAGCTACCAGCAGGTAAGGCAAGGGCTTCACTCCTCCCTTGGACGATGATCACTTTAAGAAACAGACAACAGACAGCATCGTAAGTGTAATGATAGAAGCATAATCTAAAAGCTAGAATGTCTAAATGAGGAAAGAGACTCTAGATGTCTGGACCACTAAAAGACTAACCATTTAATAAGCATTTCACACTGTTTTGGGACTTTCAGTGTTTAGTAAACATTTATGCACAACTTGTAGCTATTCAGCAGAATATTTGGTCAAAAATAGTAGTTAACTAGGCTATACACCTGAAATTAATATAATAGTAGAATGTTAACTGTAATTGAAAAATAAAAAAATAATTTAAAAAATAGCGGCTAAAACTCACATTTGCTAAATAATTAAAACACAGTGCAAGATAAAAAGAAAAAGGTAGGATGTGAGTTGTCTTCAAGAAATTTTTTTGTAATTCTAGAAGTCGCAAACAAACTTAAGCCTTCAGGAAAGTGATTTATTCTGTTCGATGTGTAATTTTCCAGTTTCTCTGTGTTACTTTTATTTTCTAATTTTGTCTTCATAGTTTAATGACTACCTGTATTATTCTGTTGTAAACTTCCTCAATCCTTTTGGGATTCAAGTGAAGTATAAATAATTAATAAGCAAATATATTCTAGTTGAAAAATAAGAAAACATAATATTTATCACTTTACATTTTAAAAGATATACTTTAAGTATACTTTGCTTTTTGTAGAGCAGTGTCAAAGTGTCAACCCCTCTTTGGAGATTACATTAGGTAATATATTTCTTAAGTCCCCCAAAAAGAAAAAAAAGTTCTCAAATGTCGTAGATCGGTTGACGAATGCTATTCTGGGGATAGGAGTTGTGGGGATAGACAGGGCTGACCACAGGAATGTAGAGCGGTGAATGCTGGCTTTGGGCAAAGACGCTGTGATGCATAGTGACTTCTTTGAAATGTTGGGACTGATGGTCCTTGTGGGGACTTGCATTAAAAATGTCTGTCACAGATCAAACATTCTATGTGAGAACAGAAATGCAGAATAATAGGGCAATAATACCCTATCTATAAACCAGCTATGTTTACAGAGCCCCTAAATAACAGGTCAAAGTAGATTTCACTATGGTAAATATTCCAATTGCAATGCTCTGCAGAATTCTCATCCGTCTCATGTATTTTAAGCAAGATTTCTGGGCCATGTGGCTTTTCTAGTAGACTTCAATGATGTGCAACCACCAAGCACAGACCTTGTCATTTATTTAACTCCAACTGTCTTTAATCTTGAGGACAGTAATACAGTGAGAAACCTTGGGGTTTCAATATAATCATAGAACATTATGCAGGATCACAGTTTCAAATTCTTTGCCTTTTTCTTTCTTGCCACATTTACCATGAAGTCTTATGTTATCTATACGTCTTAAATTTGGATCTGTGGTTTCTTTTTTTTTTTTTTTTCATCTTTCTTCCTTTCTCTTAGTTCACAGCCATGAATGAACCACAGTGCTTCTACAACGAGTCCATCGCCTTCTTTTATAACCGGAGTGGAAAGTATCTTGCGACAGAATGGAACACAGTCAGCAAACTGGTGATGGGACTTGGAATCACCGTCTGCATCTTCATCATGTTGGCCAACCTACTGGTCATGGTGGCAATCTACGTCAACCGCCGCTTCCATTTTCCTATTTATTACTTAATGGCTAATCTGGCTGCTGCAGACTTCTTTGCCGGGTTGGCCTACTTCTACCTAATGTTCAACACAGGACCTAATACTCGGAGACTGACTGTCAGCACGTGGCTCCTTCGTCAGGGCCTCATAGACACCAGCCTGACGGCATCTGTGGCGAATTTACTGGCTATTGCAATTGAGAGGCACATTACGGTTTTCCGCATGCAGCTCCACACACGGATGAGCAACCGGAGGGTGGTGGTGGTGATCGTGGTCATCTGGACTATGGCCATTGTTATGGGTGCTATCCCCAGTGTGGGCTGGAATTGCATCTGTGATATTGAAAATTGTTCCAACATGGCACCCCTCTACAGTGTCTCTTACTTAGTCTTCTGGGCCATTTTCAACTTGGTGACCTTTGTCGTCATGGTGGTTCTCTATGCTCACATTTTTGGCTATGTTCGCCAGAGGACTATGAGAATGTCTCGGCATAGTTCTGGACCCCGGCGGAATCGTGATACCATGATGAGTCTTCTGAAGACTGTGGTCATTGTGCTTGGTAAGTTTTTTCTTGACTGTAAATTTATAGATTCTCAATGTCTTAATATAAACTGCATTAGTTTATGAGTGCGTTAAACAACAATATGAATATTCACCAGGTATATATGCAGGAATTATAAGGGGATGAGATACTTTATATCAAATCCCTATGGCAAGGTCAGCAGACAAGTCTTTCTACAATTACAGAGCCGGGAAATACATGTCTCAGTGGTTTGGTATACATGGTGATGTGAAAGATGTCATTGATAGTTTGGCTATTGAATATTGAAAATTCCAGAGTTTGACAGGTTTTTTTACACCCGATTGTGGAACTTTTGCCTTCTGGTCTCTTTATTACAGATTTTCAGATAGTGTTTTTATATGTAGTTATTTTTATGAGTCTCTTTCTAATTAAGTTATCTTTCACATTGTGATTGTTACTACATACATGTAGGTAAGTATATCAAGGATTTGCATGGATTTACTGTACAAAAGGGATTCGAGTTAATGGCATTCTATGACAGTCATCTTTATGAAAATTTATGTTTTTTTCCATTCATTTTCTGTTTGCAGCAATAGAAGTTATTCGTATTTTAAGGTGAAGAGCAAGATTTTATTCTTTTATGTATACTTAAATAATTTTTGCCTTTAAATCACTATCTTGGATGAAAAATTTGTGATAATGATCAAGATGAACATATTTATTTTTTTTATTTATGTAAAAATAAATGTACCCACGAAAAGGTCACACACGGAACATTTCTTTTGGAGCTCAGAGTGCCTCTTCTAAAAGTTCACCCAGTGAGAATTTGTTTAGATAATTACCCGCATTGAATTACATTTTCTCCATAGACTATATTCAAGATAATATTTTTATTTAAAATATTTCAAATCTTTTTAAAAATCTGTCAGCATTCCAGTTTTCCCCATGGAAATTCAGTGGAAAGTTCCTCTAATGCTCTTTGCTCCAATTTGTAAAGTAATGTTGAATGAATGTAACCTGGGATTGTGTAGCTCTCCTGAAACTCTGGGAGTTACATTAATTTAGTCACTGGAAAGAGAGAAAGACATAATTATCACTAAATCAGCATTCCAGTTGAGGTAGTGGTCCCATCTATTTCGATTAGAACAAATATGTCATGGAGATCGTATATAGGTATCCTGATTTGTGACCTGTAAAGATGAGGGTGAGACCTTGGAGTTGCCGACACAACTAAAGCCCTGCCTGACACCAACTGACACACTTAGATAACGTTCCCGCTGGGGGCCTCGTCCCCTCCGATGTGAGATTATTCTGTTCTAGCCAATGAAGCTTAATGGTACACAAGTGGTTTCTCTATGTGTTTAATTATCAACAAAGACCTTGGGGTACCTGTGCTACAAGCTCATGTTTTCCACGCTGTGAATGAAACACGTCTCAGTTTCCCATGGATGCTACTTTTGTATGCAGTTAAACAACATAATGTATTTCGCTTCTGTATTGACTCAAATATTTGTTTCTTTACTGATGATCTGAACCTTGGTTGAAACTTTCCATATGGAGACCCTTTTTCTATTATACCTCAAGTGCCGCTTATAGTCCATAGACGACCAGCAGAAAGTGACTACCGAACTTGGAGTATGAACTTGCCAAGTTCTCGTTTTAATTTTGACTTTTTTATAATGCCTAACATATGTTGGTGTGCAGTATGCGTATTGACTCATGTAAAATTAACTTTTGGGCCTCATCGGGTTGCTTTGTAGGTTAAATTAGAATTATTTTGAGGGTTTATGGGGCAACAGTTTCAGTGGATAGCTGCCCTAAATGCCCCTTCTACCTCAGCATACCCACTCAAATCTGAAAATAACAGAAATAATGTTGCTCTCTGAGGTTTAAACTAGTAGACTCTACAAAGATTGACTATAGGTAACAGGTAACCTCTGGAATAAATAGCATTATTTCTATAGGTGTGTGATGGAAGAAGTTTAAAACATGGAAAACTGCTGTCAGGATGATAAGTGAAGAAATTTGGTGAGGCAAGATATGTATGTGATTGTGACATAGGAAGGAGAAATTAAATAAATGCACCGCAGCATTTTTGAAAAAAGCAACAAGAATGGGAGAGTGGGTGAGGTGAGGGGTGGGGGGTGGGTGGTTAGAAGGCTTAGAGTAGGGAATTCACAGTCCTAAACAGATGCTTATCATGACGATGCCTAATACCATTCATACATTGCACTCTGTTGCTTGAATTCTGCGTAACCTTGATTGCATGGAAGAGATGGGTTGGTTTTGTAGGAACAAGAATTCTAGTCTACTTGAAGCTCTTCTCATTGTAAATTAGTTTATAGACAATTGGGTTTTTTTTGTTGTTGTTGTTTTATTTTTGACACGTTTGGTTTTTCATATTTGTCTTCTTTGCCACATTATCAGCTTTGTGACGACAGGCAGGGATTGTAATGACGTGTTGTCTCATTTTTTCTACATTACCTTCCAATTAAAATACAACAGCTTGGAAAGTGACTGATCACATGGATGCTCGATAAATAATATGTTTATCTTTCAGTTAACACTGTAGAGAAAACCTTCAGTTTCCATTTCACCACATCAAAACGACCTCATGATCAAAAAAAGGATTTGTTGGTCAACAAGTCAAATTCCTAGGAGTCAACATAAAATAAAGGTGCCTTTGAGATTTATGATGGCAATACCAGTAGTAGTTTTTAGGTACAAGATTGTGTATAAGCTGCTTTTGAGTGAGTACTGGATCTTAATATTTTTATTTGTCAAACACTTATGTACCATTAATTGTTTGCTCAGTACTATTATTCTATGTTAGGAATTAGTATTTGTAAATAGCAACCCTATGGAGTATAGGTGCCATTATCTATTTGCTATCCTCCTCTTCTAGAGGTGAACACCAAGGTACAGAGAGGTTAGGTACTTGTACAGAGTCACACAGCTAGTTAAGTACAGGAGCTGGAGTTCATTCAGGCACTCTGGTTCCAGAGCCCATGTGATTTTCACTGCCATGCTATTCTGTCCGCCCATAATAATAAAAAAAAATCATCAGCATATGTTGTGTTTTGTTTAAACTGTGCTCTGCTATTAAATTGAAACGTCCTTACCCATTTGTTTCTGTTGATAACTACCTAGCTGCCTGTGCTTTGTTTCCTGCCTAGAAGAGAGCTTTAAAGGAGCATTCCTCTTCTTTTGTTTCGAATGATGACTCTCTTGACTCTCATTTCATCAGCCTTCTTCACTGTTTGCTGTTGGAGCGCCAGTAACTGACTGCTTCTGATTGAGTGAGGGAGTGTTTGCTTCCAGGTATAGTTAACTTGTGGTTTTATTGTCTCAGCATGAAGTCATGTAGTCCTTCCCCAAACTTGAATTCTTCCTACTTGACTTTTTCCAAGAATTCCTTTTGAGTCTTATTTTACAGTGGAATCAAAGTGACAGTCAAGACTTTCTTCCTTATTTGACCACAGTCTGTCTTTGAGTTGTAAGTCCTTGCCTTTCCTGTTCTATTCCTTGTGATGACACTTCTGTTGGGGATAATTTGGAAAAAGAAAAACCAGGATGTGGAAAGAGGAAATAATGGTTACGGGGTTATGGTAAGGAGGTTTTGCATCTGAGCCCTGGGATAGAGAGAGTGACAGAAAACAATATAAATCAAGGTGGGGCTTTTCCTTTTGGGGAAGAGAAATATTCTTTTTCTTGTTTGATCTGTTCTGGCTGGAAATGACCACCACTGAAGCTAAATGATCCCTTTTTACCTATGTTCTCTGTGCCAGGGTTAATACTTGGTACTACTTTCCATGTACTATTTATAACTTTACACCAAGGAAAGTTCTATTTCCCCTATTTTACATGGAAGGAACTGAGTTAAGATAGGGTTAGTAACTTGTCCAAGGTCACTTCTGGAAGCAGCAGGTCTGGAATTCAGCTGCAGGATTGTTGTAGACCATGACCTTCCATCATAGGACACTGACGAGGCATACCATACAAGAGACTGTTACTGGGGGGTGATAACAGTGATGGGGCCAGGTGGGTTTAAGTCCATTGTTTTCTTGTTCACTCTGATGAAGAATAATTTGGCCAGTATCGTGTTAGCAGATCTTTATGTACTTCTCTATTTAATTCATCAAACATGTTGTTGAGTACTAATCGTGGGCTGAGGGATAAAAAGATGCGTAAGGTAAACTCCATTCTTTACAGAGCTTATAGTGTAGTAGAGGAGACTAAGGCCTGCAAAAACAGTCGGGTCCAGGCGCTAATAGAGGCATGGGCTGAGTGGAAGGAAAGGAGGACCTCCCAGGGGAGGCAGTATTGAACTAAATCTTGGTGAATGTGGAGGTGCTTGCCAACCTGTCGGATGGTGGTGTGGCGAAGCTAAGAAATAGCAGGAGCAGTGGTCCTCCCCTTTGAGGAACTGAAAATAGTCGAGTGTGATTAGCAGATAGTGGGGCATTCACACTGGAGAGGTCAAACCCTTTATAACATACCAAGGAGTTTGGGCTTCTGCCTTTAGGTGATCAAAGATGCTGAAGGATTCTCTAAGGTAAAGAACACCAATTCCTTATAGGGATGACCATATGGTTTATCATCCAAACTGAGGCACTTTTGTTAGAGGAAATGGATACTGAGTGGTTGGGACATTGGGATAACAGGCGTAAACCAAGACTGGTCTGGTCAACCTCAGGATGTATGTCACCTTCCTCTAGGCTCTGCTTTCTGCTGGTTTGTTTATTAATATTCTTTCTACGTTTTCTTTTGGCTTTTTAAATGTAGAGCTCAACGAACATTGGACTTGTTCCACTGTGTAAAAATGGTAAAGAACTTTTTTCTTTTTCGAAGTGAGGATCGGTCCAGATTTAGAATTTTAGAGCTGCAAAGGAACTTAAAAATCACACCAACCAACTCACTTATCTTACAAATAAAGAGACTGAAGTTCTCAAGTTAATTTAGAAATTTAGGCCCAAACCAAGATCCAGGTTTGCTGACTTCCACTAAGGAGCTATTCTTACTGCCTGTGCTGTCAC